TTTGTATGACAAATCTTGTAATGATAATTACAAAATTTGTCATATAAATTAATTTTTATTTTAAAATACATGTTCCGCAAGAGTATGTATTATGTATTTTTTATTAAGTGTAGATTTTTTTGTCAATATTTTAGAAATAATTTATCTCAAACGTAAATCTAATTTATTTCGTTTTAGTTTAGCTACATTCTAACACTTTATACTTTAATAACTACTTAAAACTTTTTTGGATTATATTAATCACATCGCTTGGATGTTAATAACTCATAAAGCTTATAGAGGTGTGTTTTTTATATATCATATATACTTTTGTTTTTTTTTGCAACTTGCACATTTAAACATCATACTTTTTAATTTACTTATCGTTATTTTTAAGAATATATAAATATATACAAGTATTAAATTTTAATATATTATTAATCAAATTGCCGGTATCTATTAAGCGAGGTGATTAAAATGCTCTTAAAATGGAGCAATAACTTAATTTATTAGTTGTTTGCATCAATATATTTAGCAAGATGTTTTGATATTGAATTAATCAAGTATTTATCTTTTAATGTAGAAGTTAATTTTACTTGGAACTAACACTTCAATTTCATTACATTTTTAGTGTCTACAATTGTGCAATTTTTGAAGTATTCCATATGTCGCACATTGTCGCAGGAAAGGAGTAAAACTCTTAAAATTAAAATTTTATTTCCAGGTCCTTTGATATTGTCATACGTATGGACACATGCGATAGACGGATTTTGAGATGACCAGAGAGGCTTGACACGGAAGCTGTGTTCAGCACTCTGTGTTTAGTTCAAGAATCGTTAAGACAATCGTCCAGATGATTATACATGATAAACTACTTTGCAAACATCTTTTGATTTTAGCATTTATGCATTTTAGGCTTTGGGAAGAATTTCTATGATTACTAATTATCCATCGTATAACTTCCTAATTTTTCTACTGTAAAAAGATCCTATTTTGTCTATGTTTTTATTTCTGTTCATGTTTGGAAACATACTTCTGCTCTGTTAAAATATTGACTATCATCGCACAGACATGGTATTATATATTCTTAATTTTTTATAATGCCTGGATAAGGGTTAATTTTGCTTTATAAAATTGCAGTTAAAAATCTTAAAATAAATCGAGAATATTGTTACTAATTACAATTTTACAAATAATAAAAATTTCAGAATTAGAAAGTACTTTTAATTAAATTAACATAATTTAAATATATTATAGAGTGAATGTATACTTAAATGTGATTATATCTTTTAGATCTAGTTTTGTAGCAAGTATGGGAAGTGCTGTAGCTTCAACGCCTATAGACGTAATTCGCGTAAGTAAATTATTATATATTTGTACAACAATTGAAATATTTTTTGTTTCAAGATGTCTTTTTCTTTAGACCCGATTGATGAATCAAAAGAGAGTGCATATTGCTAGTAAGAAGTCTTCACCATACGTTTACAATGGCAGTATAGATTGTTTGGTTCAGGTATAAAACTTTATTCCTGTAATATTTTATATTTATATTTATGTGCATATATACATTACTCAACAAAAAAATAGGAAACACTTTAGAATACGCTCAAAATTGCGCAATATTCAGAAAACCGTAACTCGGTGAAAAATTATCGCAGACAAAAAATCAAAAAAGCATTTGAAAGCTTAAAATCTCTACTTTCAAAATCGGTAATTGATATTTAAATCTGACTGATTCTTTATGAAGATATACGGACACAATTGGAGACCCGTCAAATTTGAAAATTTTGTACAAATTTTATAAAGGTCTATGGCGTGAAGTAAAAATCACACAAAAATGCGATTTGTAGCAGTCGAAAGAGTGAATCTTTTACCTTCAATTTGTTTTTTTACTGAGTGCTGTACGATGTTTCTTCACCGAGTTATTGAACGTTGAAGTAAAAGTGGTCATTTTAACTCCAAAAATCGTACAGCACTCAATAAAAAAGCAAATTGAAGGTAAAAATTCACTCTTTCGACTGCCATAAACTGCATTCTTAGTGAACTGCATTTTTGTGAATTTTACTTCACGCCATTGATCTTCGTAAAGTTTGTAAAAAATTTTCAGATTTGACAGGTATCCATTTGTGTCCGTATATCTCCATAAAGAATCAGTCTCATATTGAAATATCAATTACCGATTTTAAAAATAGAGATTTCAAGCTTTTAAATGTTTTTTTGATTTTTTATCTGCGATAATTTTTCACCGAGTTACTGAAGATTGCACAATTTTAAGCGTGTTCTAAAGTGTTTCCTATTTTTTGTGTTAAGTAGTAATTTATATATTTATTACTCTCACACGCATGCACGCACAGTCTAGCATATCTATTTACAAGAAAAATTTTTTTCTGTGTAGACGATTAAAAATGAAGGAGTTTTAGCACTGTACAAAGGTTTTATTCCGACGTGGTTCAGGATGGGGCCGTGGAATATTATATTTTTTATTACCTATGAACAATTGAAACAGTTGTGATGCATCGTCGACTATTATATTGAATATTTAAATTCCTCACTACAATAAGGTCTGGAAATATAAAAACCATTATATTATGAATTTAGCATTACTATCTGATAATCTCAATTGTATATAATTCTTTGATTGTGAAAGTGACTATTGATTGTGGTTACCTTAAAATGCCATATAAAATAAGTAAACTTGCAGCACATAAATGAATTAGACACAGCACTTTTCAGCATTAAAATAATTGTAGAAATAGATACAAAAATGAAAGTAACCAGAAAAGTTTAAGAGCTTCCCAAAGTACAAGCTTCCACAAATTATTTTAATTGATAAAGACTACAAATTATACCTATATTTCAATATATTATTACACAGTTACAGTTATAACATAATCATACACTGTTATATGTAAGTATTTCAATTATTTTATCATTTTTATACATAATTCGATTCTGCACATAGAAAGTTTTTATATGTAAATCAATGAACAGTCAAAATGTCAAAATATTATATGGAAACGAAAGTTCGAGGTTTGTGTTTGATTTGTCGCAATGTTTTGTACAATACTAGTCATTGTTATCTACATGAATATAATAATGAATTGTATTTCAGTATTTTTACATAGCATTTACTGTCATATTTCTAGCATACACACTAGTCACTTTAAGAGATTGTTGTAAAATTAATATAAGATAGTGTTGAGTTGTATAAAATTTGGCTATTAATTTTTTATGAATAATATTATATAATTCATAATGATTAAAGTCAATTTTTTAAATCAAATCTTAATTTTTTTCACAGTAGTTACACAAAACGGTACAGTCTGTATACAGATATAACTTTCTATTTTAATTTCTTTTCATATGAAATAAATATACATTGATCTGTGTGTGTGTGTGTGTGTGCGTGCGCGCGCGCGCATGTGTGTGTACAGTACAAATTTTGATGCTCTTAATTTAAAGTGATACCTATTTGCAATTAAATATTCAAGAGCCCATAATCCTGTATTAAACACAATGATGTAATAGCTTATTAATTATGAAATTATTTATCTTTGAAGACAGGAAGACTGACTCATACATAGATAAGAAATATTTTGCAAACGAAAATGGAATGTAACATTACATATCACTGTACGTATACATTATACAGTATACAGTATTTTAGATTTATTGGAACAAATTTCAGGGAATAATAGATTCTTCAAAAAAATTAACTTTTGTTAAGGAACTTGTATCGACACATTTTTAAGGAGCTAGATATCTGATTGTACGTGATATCTGACTAGTTCACGTCCTTTAATTTTGTCTTTGTAAAAAGATATCAATACTCCTGCACAATGTTGTCGCATGATCGATTAGGTCTTTAGAGCTAGTCTGAACAAAGGCATGTAACTTCTTAAAATGTATTGGACAAAAGTTCCTTAATAAAAGTTGATTTTTTTAATGAGATCTATCATCCCTTTATGTTTGTCTCACACAGAATCCTCTCCTAAAACATCTTGTATTTATACATAATTTATATAAAAATTTTACCAATGTAAAAATTGGTATTCTATTAAAAGAATATTATAGACCTGATACATTCAGTGTATGTACTTTTTTTACATTCAATGTATAAGAAGTGTGTATATTTATGTAAGAAATACAAATATATCATTAAAGAGAAAACAATTCCAGAAGTTTAAAATTATATAATTTACAGAAAAGAATCTTTTTTGTTTATCAAATGTAAAATATGCACATATTTCAAAAATTTAAAAGTTTGTGATATTAAAAATCTAATACGAGCAAACTTAAAAAAAAAAAAAAGAATTTAAGAGAATACATTGTAAATATTTCTGTATGTGCATCATATGCTTGTAAATCTTTTTTTTTCAGATTACTTTAAATATGTGACATTATATTGGGTGATCCGGAAAGTCCGTGCGGATTTTTTCATTGATTTTTCAAAAGTTTTTTTATTTGTTGCGAAATTTTCGTTACGATTATATCATTCGCTAGAGCAAAGTTTCAGCTTTAAGAATCTGTTTTTTAAATTGCGATATGATGATTTTTATCGGAGTTATGAGTAATCGAAATCAGAATGCTTCTTTACTTAACTCGCGAATAACTCAGAAACAAAAAATTATAGGAACATTTTTAAAAAATGATTTTGTAGGGAAAGCTTTAAGTTTTCACGATGGGTAGTCGAAAATTTTCGTAAATTTTTTTTGGGCACGTGAGAGACCCCCAAAGTGAAAAGAAAATTTTTTATCTTTTTCAGCTCGTAGTTTTTGGTATGTAAAAATTATCAAACTCATATAAACTTAAAAAATGTGATAAGCTTTTAAAAGTAGAGATTTCAAGCTTTAAAACCCTTTTTTTAAATTTAAATTTCGTTCATTTTTGACGAAGGTATCGTATATACAATTTTTCATTGTAAAATCCGCACGGACTTTCCGGATCACCCAATATTATATAGTTCTAGAGAATATCCTATTATATATAATAAGTAATAAAAATATTATATATTAGGCCTCTTTAAAGTCTATATATATTTACATATCTATAATTTTTCTTATACACTGATAGTGATTATTTGTAATACTATGTCAGTGATCATGACATTTCCATATGATGACTTTTCTGTCTTTTCCACCTGTTATTATCAAATTACTATCTGCAATTACAGCCAAGGCGCAAAGCGGTCCTGAAAAGTATGTTATAAATTGTCAATAATTAATGTATTGTGTAAATTCCATTGTGGCTGCGTTTGATTTGGACACTCGTGTACTTTAAGCGCTTATAATCGTCGTTCTATCTCTATCATTTATTATACATAAAACAAGGATAGAAGCATTAAAAGTGTCCAAACTAAACATAGCCTTTATAATAAAAAGAAGATATAGTTAATATAAAATAAATTCAAATATCAAAATATTTTACTATAAATTATTTTAATAATATATGTAAATATGTGTATATATATATATGTGTCATACTATAGTAGTATGTAATAGTAATAATAGCAACAAAAATTTACCATCGTGGCAATGTATTTGCGGAATGAATACAGTCTCCTGATGATTCCAGATATTAAGATTTCCATCGTTATCGCCTATTAGCAAGAACATTCCCATCCATGTTAATGTCAATGGTTCGCTTTCTAAACTGACTGAATATATCTGTGTACTTGTTCGGACATCGATTATATTTAATACTTTGTCTTCTGCACATGATATGACGCTACTGCATTGTTTATCGAAGGTTACAGCGTTTACTCTGCATGTGTGACCTTTATACAATAAACAGATATTAATGGTAATAGAGAATCTTATTATTTCATTTTATGATTAAAAAGTATTTTTAATGATAAGATATAACTAAAAAGAGCAAGAAGAATTAATGTTTGTACGTTAGTGATATATAATACATTAAATATTATTTATAAATAAAGATTTCTTATAAAATTAGTAAATCTATCGTAGGAATACTAGACACATTTCTAGCCTACGATTAAATAGACATGAAAATGATATAAAAAGATATAAAAAGACTTATAAAGATTTGTATAAACTTATATCTCATTGCAATTTTTTATTCAAGTGTATATTAAAATTATTTAACATGGCCGTTTTTAGTAATTTTAAGCATGAAAATAAGGGAAAATACATTTACCTTTAATAGTTGATTGTAAATTGTAACTGTTCATGCTCCATAAACATAATTCGCCATCTTCTGTACCAGATACTAACATAGTGTCGTCTCTACACACAATCAGTATAAGAATTCAATTTATAAATATGAAACACAGTAATATATCGTGTATATTATTAGCAGAAATTAATTTGTTATTTAAGAAGTAAAATTCTTATCTTTGTGTTACGTACTTATTATATTATTACACACAAGTGATATCTAACCTTGATATATTAATACAAATTACTTTGGAATCATGATCTAATTGTGCGATAAAGCATTCCAAAGGTTTAATTTTTGATCCAGAAGTGTACTCATGCCAAACTTTTGCAGTGCAATCCCACGATCCAGATATAATCACTTGATGAGTAGAACTCCATGCTAAACACGATACAGCATCTTCATGTCCTTGTAGAACATCAATTACTCTGCCAAATTCGATATCATAAAATATCCTTAAATAAAATACAATATAATTAAAATTTGTAAGACTTTCGACATATATATTTGACATTTTATAAAAAAAAAAAAAAAATTACATATGATCTATATATAAGTAAATTTATATATTATAATTATATATAGAATTTGATCATTGTTATATTACAAAGTATTGTCCCATGATCCTGCTACAAGAATGTTTCGTTGCGATAGCGTACAGTATGAGATACAAGATGACAGTGACAACGAGGACAAGGTAACACTACGTGTCAATTTCTTCTCATTTATGTTATACAGTTTAAGCATTCCATCTTGTCCTACTGATATAATTTCATTACTCGTTTTATTTTTTCGTACAATACTGGTGACACAGTCTTTATGTGCTTGAAACATTACTAATTCAGTAAAATCAATTGATTTTTTGCTTACATGTGCACTACCTGAAAAATTAATAATAATTTTTAATATGCTATATTATATCCATGTATAAATGCGCATTTGAATAGCTAAGGAAAAAATATGTAAGACATAATACCTGAAGTTATTGTGTCTGGTGAAGTCAATAATGTTTCACTGTATAATAAATTTGGAGCTAATGTCAAACGTTTGGGGTGAGGTAAAGTGAAAACTTGTTTTGGTATCTGTCCAAACTCCATTATTTGCACTTCGAGACCATGTCTGTCATTTATATCTCGTATAGTATCTAAATCTACTGCTCCTTCATAACACAAATGGAAAAATACTACACAGAAAACAAATATATATTGTAGAAATTTTGAAAATAATCATGCTCTATAAATTTTAACAATACTTTAAGTTAATATTGTAATTTCTTTTATTTCTACTGTAATATACCATAAAAAAATACAAAAAATTGAATTACCATTGTCAGCCTTATCAGCTTCAACTCCTCTTTGCTTATATCCAAAAATTAGGTCAATCCAATGATGAAGATTTTGAGAAACGTAATCGCTTTCTAAGGCATTTCTCAATTGTTGTACAAAATCGGCTGGTCCTAGAATATGCCAGTTAATATTAATTTTTTATTTTTAATATTAAATATTTATAACATAATTATAATCATACAATTGATCACATATAAATATGATGCAGAATTGATAGTTGCTTTGTAACTGTTTGCCATAAGAAATATTTCAAGAACATTGTTAATCAATGAAGTATTTCTTAGAGTAAAATGTTTTATCTATTTTGAAAAATATATAAACAATGGCGATTAATCGATAATATAAGTGATTAATGATAATTATAATGAAACATCTCATCTTACCTTTTGCCCAAGGAGGTAGTTGTACATCGCCTATTTTTGTACCATCATGTCGATAGCCAAAGTCAATACCATAATTATTTATTAGAAAGTCACCACCATTGTTTGTGTCATAAAACTCCGGTATCAGTTCTTTAAAGTCAGACATGTTCACCAAAACATTTTTCCACACGTCAGCTATACTGTTAGGTGTTTTTGTTCGTAAAAGTGAAACATAAAATCGTTTCTGCACATTTGACAGAGTAATTATATACTTTTACAATATTTCAAATATTTCTTATTTCTGCCTTTTCTTATGAAATAAATACATAATCCATTTTCCTTAAATTATAGTGTTTCTAGCATAATCAATTTTTTTTCATGCATAAATGTGCGTTGCTATTACAATTTATTAATATAATGTTAAAAGCAAACAAATATCGAAAAAAATTAAATGAAAAAGTATGATATATACCTGTTGAACATTCTATCTGGATGATCAAATCTTCCGTTTTGAAGACAGAGCATATACTGAGGGTATTTCCGTACTAGGTAAAACAGTACAAAACCTGGTGCACTATAATGAGAACCATATAAAAACTTCGGATCAGACATTTCCGAATATCGTTCCTATAATAATACAGGTATATGAAAAAAATATTGGTTCTTTTAATGTATTTCATAAAAAATGATGAGAAGTGATGCACAAAGTAATGGTGTGGAAAAATTGATTCAATTGAAATATTAATAATACTTATTGAAAATTATAGATTAATTCAAGAAGTAATTGACGAGTGCTTGAAGGTATTGTAAACAAATTTTAGAATGTTTTGTACGTGAGTATATTGTGTTACAAATATTTAATAGGAATCTATATATACACGCACGCACGCACGCACGCACGCACGCACACACACACACACACACACACACACACACACACACACACATACATACATACCTTTAGCCTTTCTAGACGAATAGGATTTAATGCGCCAATAGGTTTTGAAAGATCTCTGTAAACATTAATATCATTTAAATTTAACATTGAAGAAGTATAATCTTGTATAATCCAAGGCAACACTGGATATTGCGTCAAATCATGAAATGTTCTATCTGCCAAACTGAAACAAAGTGATATAATTTAAATATATTCCTTCACATAATATTTGGATCAACAATAATTAGCTTTAAAGTCCTAATAATTACCTATTTACATATAAAATGTAATCATAATTCGATAAAGATCCATTTTGCCATCTCATTGTCATTTGATTTTGTGGTACAGTCTCAAGAGAAACCGCCGATTGTTTAAGTAAATTTTCATATAGTTTGTCTCTGCCATCTTGATTTTGAAACGATAAAAATAAATGTTTAATTTTGCTATCAGTTTGTCTTATCCATTTAATTTCCAGACCCTGCAAATAAATTATTAATATAGTTCCTCTTATAATACAATTCTATTAAAATTATATAGTAGAACATTACAGATTATAAAATATTTACCACTTGTCGCAATAAAAATCTTCTTTTTATAATATTTCGTATATCTTTCAGTTGAATCTTAAGAACAGGATGCTAAAAATCAAATAGTGTTATAATGCACAATAGTTACTTTCTCTTTAGTTTATAAAAAAAAAGATTCCAACAAAAAATTCTGCTTGTGGCATAATGTGAAAGAAACTAAATTACTTGATCCATGTTGTTATAAGGTTGGAAATAGATCCTCGAGTTGGTCAATAATACTCTGCCTGGATTTATTACAAGTGGTAAAACTTTATTTGCTTGTGTTTCCAAAATCACTTGTTCATATAGATCCTCAAGCCATGACGTATCAAATGATACACGTGATTGTCTAGAGTGTACAATAGCCATAATCTTAAAAATTAAAAGCATTATTAAAATAATTTTAATGTTTATTACAATTCTTTTAAAACATATTATCTGGTAAATAAAAGAATATTACCATAGCATTTTGTTCTATAGTTACTAAACTTGCTGCTCTATGCAATTGTAGGATCTGTGAAAGACAATCTTCTACTTTTGCATAATTGAAACAAAAGTGGAATATAGTATTCTGATGTATAAATCTATACGGTGCTAATATATTTTTCTCCAACATTTCCACATGTTGTTTACACTCTATTGATAGTATATTACTGCAACATAGTTGAACATATAAATGAGTAAACAATTGTAACAATATCAAAATATAAAAAGAATTGGACAAAAACAGTAATTTGCGCACGTTATATTTTTTTTATAGCTATATTAAAAATATATTTACCTTACTATATCATTGCTTAATGTACATTGCTCAATTAATGTAGTTTCTTTAAGTTGAAGTTTAATTAATGGCTGATTAATATCTTTATTTACAAATACTAAAGATTTTGAGCATAATTTCAATCTTCCCTCCATCCACTTCTTATCTTTAGAAAATTGAGCGTCTAGCTTTTTCATTTGAACACTATAATCTTCAAAAAATATTTCTCCTGGTTCCAAAAGAAGCATTGTAAACCTGTAAAAAAATATTTGAATTTTATGCCTCTTACATTTTCATAAAAATATACTTGTTTTTTTTATTTTACATAAAAAGGTTTAAAGTAGTTATTCAACATTATAAAAAGACTAATTGACTAATGACTTGATTAAGTATCTTGTTAATAGGTTTAAAACATTTCAATTCCAAATATTATAAGTATAAATAATGTTTTAAAACTAAGAAATCTAGAATGTTTATAAAACTAGTATGTGTGTGTTTATCAAAGAACAAACATTTATCAAATTACATATTAAGTTTATATTAGAATTAGAATATTTCTGAGTCGGGGAAGTAAACAATTATCTAACTTTCTATATATTATTCTTTATATTCATATTATTTATTCACAGAAATTTTAACCTAAAAGATGACACTTAAGATAAAAATTTTTAACTTAGTAATAATCTCGCAATCTTCCCTCGGTACAATTTTTTTATACCAAAAATACAAGTTATACAAATTTCAATTCGCGAGCATCTTTCTCATAATTTTATCTATTAAAAACTTGTTAATATTCTGCGTACCTTTCCTTCTCCATCGTTGAATAAGTAAATAATACATATATTATAATAATTAATATATAATAAATTGCTGATATAAGAGCAATAAGGAAACTTAATAGGGAACTTTTATTATTATATAAGTGAATGTGAATACTCGGTTCAATCTTAACAAAATATGACTCAATTTCAACGAAAATAATGAATGACAGTTCACTCTGGGCTGCGTTCAGGAATTACGTCTAAATAACTCTAGTGTACATTTTTGTTATAATATACGTGACATAACCTATAGCTTAGCAATCACACGTAACTGACTTTCTGTCGCACTTTTTTCTATTTCTTTATAGCGCTTTCTTTTTTTAAATGTCATTAAATGCCCAATGGACAGTAGGCATCTTGGATGTGTTCCAAAATTCACTGCCAGCGCTGAAAAGTTATACGTTCTGTGTACTAGACATTTTCAGCACTGACAGTGAATTTTGGAACACAGCACTTATGATAGAAATATAGAACTATTTGGAGGGAAAAATACAAACAGTGTTATGCACAGTTATGCAAGAGACGTATTAAAGAAAGTGAAAGAGCGGTGTTCAGTTTTCAGTTTAGAATAGTAATAAAATGATATTAGTTATTAACGAAAGAAGTGATAACTTTATACAGGGTGTTAAAAAAAAACTATTTAGCTTGTATATGATATAGATAGTACATACCGTATCGAAAAAAAAAACCTTAGTGAACATACGTCGGAAGCTCAATCGTTTCTGAGATATAAACATTTTTGTTGACTTACTGGCTTTTACTATATGTCGCATGCGATGTTTACCTCAGTGTTTATAAACTGTGTTCTGTATGTCCTCATTCAATTTCGATACATACTTTATATGCTAAACATACTCGTATACGGAAATGGAAAGACATGGAATACCTTCTGTAGATATAGTAAGTCATTCATGATGCTAATATACAAAAATGTTTATATCTCAAAAATAGTTGAGATTTCAACCTATTCACTAAAGGTTTTTTACTTACAATTAGTATATGTGTATATAGTCTCTACCATATAAATGTTGAATGGTTTTTTTTAACACCCTATTATATATTTTTAGTATACAGTTATAATTGCGCATATACATTTAGTAAAACATTATTTGTAATGTCTTTTAAAATAACCTGTCTTTCTAAAACAAAAATATGTCTACAAAAATATTTTTATTATTGTGTACAAATGTACTTTCTATTCACTAATTTTGTTATAAATTTATGTTTTTTTGTAAATTCTTGATATTTTATAGATTAAAAAAATGTTTCTCAACTATTTGTTCAAATAATATTTAAATAAATATATGTTTATCCTATATATTATTAACCTTTTTTATTATTAACATTTTTATTTATTACATATTTTATTTATAACATATTTTATGTATTATTAATTATTTTCTATTGATTCAAATATGATATACAAGTATATTTCCTTCTTATTAATTAGTGTTTATAATTTTCTGTATGTATTTTTATTATTTCCAAAATTTTATATTTTTTATTGTCTACACAATATATTTTGTGTAATTATGAGCTACTTATTTATATCATTTTGGTA